TCTTGTTCTTTTTTTTTTTCTTTTTAATATTATAAATAATATATAAGAAGGAAAAAAATATCACCGAATGTTCACGATCGATGCGTTCAACTTTTTTTTTTTCCTTTTTTTTTTTTTTTTTAACACAGACGCATCGATCACGCTGTAAACTTTGACCTCGTTATACATCCGATGCTCTTCTGACCCCTTCGTTCGCATTCGCACCGGCCAGTAAAAAAACGTAAAGAAGAATAAGAATAAAAAAAAGAAAAAAGAAAAAGAAAAGGAAAAGAAAAAGAAGATGAAGAATAAAAGAGCATAGATTTCGATCTTTGTCGTATAAATTTAAAAAACGATAAGCCATCGACGACTGTTCAACGAACTGAGAATAACATGGTGGATACACGGTATCGTTTATGTTAATAAGTTCAAATGTGTTGCATATTGTATTATATACAGACACGTGTCGTTTTATAAGTCCGACGTGGAAATTTCTTTTTATTTTTACTTTTGTTTTGTTTTGTTTTGTTTTGTCTTTCTTTCTTTCTTTCTTCTTTTTTTTTCTTTTTCCTTTTTTTTTTTACTGGCTAGAAATAAATGACCACGAAGAATCCGTCCTGCTCGCGTCTTTCCTATTGTACATCGCATTTTTTTTCTTTTTTCCTTTTTTTTTTGTTCTTTTTTTTTTAAAGCTTGGAACACACAAGAAATTTATATGTAAACGATATAGATACAATATTTCTTCGATACTCTTTTTTTTTTCTTTGAAGAAAATTAATTAGATATTTTATTAAAAGGAAAAAAAAAAAAAGAACAAATGAAAAAAGGTATGTGCGTGCGTGGATAATTTTAGATCGTTTTTAAATTCGAATATTACGTTTACGTGAACCGATAATTACTAAAAATGGTCTATGAATTATTTGATATATCAACACTATTAGCTAATATAAAATTGCACTTTTTTAACCGTCTTTTGTTTTATATATTGTATTAAATTTAATTGTTATAAAAGTTATATAGCCCATTTTTTGTGAAAAATGCATATTGAGAAAACCCGTTATTTTAATTAATTATAAATAAAAAGGTTAACATTATGTGTTGCTTAAAAAGAAATTTGCACCACTTTCATAATGTAACTTTTAATATTAATACAATATTAATGTATTCTTTTATTTCAATTATTAATCATTTGAATTTATTAAAATTTGTTAACAATTATTAACATATGTCTCTGCGTATAAAAAAATTTTTTATTTAAAAACAAATATATGCTATTATATAAACAATTCGTAAACAATTCGTGGATCAAGATATGCGTGTAAAAATTTCAAAACGATCAAAAACATTATGATTAATACGATTGATCGCATGACTATTTTTTATAATTATCGGTTCTCAATCATCTCAATTATTAAAAACGCATTATCATCGGGATCTTGTTATAATATCGTATTGATCGAACGGGATTTTATTTTGCTTTGGGTTATTTGTTTGTGATTGTGTGGATAAAAATAAAAATTAAATATTAAAAACAAACGCGCGCGATCAAATGAAAAAAAGAAAAACAAAAATATTAATCGAACAAATTTTTAAATTTCAATATACGATTTATGATTTCTCACTTTCGTTCATCTTAAAACGTTAATTCTAATGGCACTAATGCTAATTAATTACGCGTGTATTTTGTTTACGTGTATTTGTGTATATATATATACGCTATATATATATATAATTTTTTTTTTTTCTTTCTTTTTTCGTAGTGATTTTATTTTCAAAGATTATTATATATTTAGATAATAATAATATTACGATTATTTTTTTTTTCTTCTTCTTCATTATTGTCTGTTCACATTTAATATACTTAACCACCTAGCTAAAACGAACACGTGTTTCGATACAAAAGGTATCAAACCTCTAATACCTCAAACCCTATATATATATATATATGTATTGTATGTAAATATATGTGTGTGTGTGTCGCGTGTATTATAAATATATTCATTTATTTATTTATTATATAAGCTTTTGGTATAATAATACCGAGTTCACAAAATGTGGTGGGAATAAAAAAAGAAGAAGAAGCAACTAGTAACTCATAACCAATCACGATTTTGTTAATAAAACGATGAACACATAACGAAATCTCTCTCGTAATATATTTATAATAATATATACTATTTATTATTATTATTATTATTATTATTATTATTATTATTATTATTATTATTATTATTATTATTATTATTATATATACGTATGTGTATGTTATATATTCTTAACGCGAGAATACACATAACATACGAAATAGGTCAAAAGTTGTTAAACCCATTTTAAAAATTAATTACTATTATTCGAGACGATTTTAGGATAATTTCTTTTATCGATTACAAAATTGCTAGCTTAGCTCGTAAACTTTGCAATTTTTATGACAATTTTTGCAAGCACAGCGAAGAAAAGTAATTAATTTTTATAATATGTGTTCACATAACTTTTGGGACCATCTTGTATTTGTTCGAGTGTAATCATTGATAAAACGCTAATAGCCTCTTGTTTTTTTGTTTATTTGATGCTGTTGATAATGTAGTAGTAATTACTATTATCTTTTATATATATATATATTTCTTTAATTTATTTAAAAATCGACTCGATCCTTTGAAATACTATAGTGCAAAAAGTGTGCTTTTCAAAATCACGTTGATTCTTTTTCTTTTTTTTTTTTTTACATCTCCTCTTATTTTATTTTATTTCATTTTATATAAATGGCAAGAGTGCTTGAGATCCAACGTGACAAACGTTTACAAAATTCTTTGTGTTTTTTTTTTCTTTTTTTTTTCATTTTTATTATTAAAAGCAAAAAAAAAAAAAAGAGAATAAAGTCTCGTCACTTTACGAAAATATTTAAAAAGTAATCGAAATTTTGTCAATTTCTAGTTAATCTTTTATTTTCATTACGCGCGTTTCGTTCGTTCATTCATTTATTTTTTCTTTTTATTTATTTCTATTTTTTAAATAATTCATTCGCGTTTCGATTGTGGCAAAGAAAAAAATAGAACAAAAAATATATAAATCGAAACGTATCTCTAAGCGTACGCGTGTATTATTTATGTATACGTATGTGCGCGCGCGTGTGTGTGTACGTGTATAACACACACACACTAATTAGTTAGTGCAAATAATTAGCTACTTATTAATTATCTACTATGAAAAAAGTAGTGTGCAATTGATACACCTGATCATTGGTGCAATATGGCAAGTGTAATTCATAAAATGGCACCATTAAGAAGGATATAGGACATTTTTTTTATCTTCTTTTAATTGTGTTTTGTTTTTGTTTTTTTTTTCCTTTTTTTCATTTCACTTCTAATAACGTCACACATCCAAAAAGGATAGATTTTTCTTTTTTCTTACGTATCATTATACTCATTTTTTTTCTTAAATTTTCCTCTTAGCCCTCCCACTCCTCCTACACCCCTCTCCACTTCTTTTCTTTATTTTAATAATCCTTAACAATATATAAAATATTGTTTCATTGGGTTTTTTTGATCAATAATACGTGTCGTGTATATGTTTGTGTATTCGTATGCGTATACACACATATGTGTACCAAATCGGTAAACTTAACATTTTTAGAGACGGGTCCGTAATTTTTGAAACAATTATTAACCAGTTAAGTGTGCTTGACGACTATATCCGTCATGGAAGAATGGCAGAATTTTGTGTTTTGACGGCTATATCCGTCATGCGTAAAATTTTGATACAATTTGATATTTAAATTGTAATTCTGGCGAAAACTAAATTATATTCGTAAATATTAATATGTTTAGAATGTTTAGGGGTCAGAACGAAATGAAATAAACAAATGAAAATTATAGATAATTTGAGTTGGACATTAGATCTTTGATTATCCCGATTTTTATCTTGACGTGTCATAACCAAAAAAACAAAGTATATTAGATTCTCCATCTGTGATGATGTCCGCGATGTCTAACCAAGGAAAAAAAACAAATTGATGAATTTGATTTTTTTTAAGTTTTTCGTTAATTATGTGTAAATATAGCTTTACGTTGATCCATTGTTTAAATATTACTTATAAATTCATTCATTTTTTAAAATAAAGTCATTTTTTTGACCGAATATTTCAACAGCGCCACTTACTCTGTGTTTGACGACTATATCCGTCATCGCTTGATTATCGCGAAACACACTAGGGCGCACTTTGCAAAATGATCGACACAGTTAACTGGTTAAAAAATCAATATTACTCGAGTCAATTGTTATTTTTCACATTGTAAAATTATGAAATTAATAATACGTCAAATTGCGATCGTCAATTTCAAGTCAATAAAAAAACAGTGTGTTAATTAATTTTAAAAATTAAATTATTCCATCTAAAGAAACTTTTTGGCCCACCAGGTATATTATATTTTGCAGTTATATACCTTCATCTTTAATTTCATTTAATTAAATTCTTTTTTTGTTATATATATATAATAAGTTATCTTTTTCTCCTCTTATCAAACTCTCGATTAACTTTAATATTTACTTTGTTTTCTATTTTTTTTTCTTTTTTTTTTTTTTTTTTTTTTTTTTTTTTTTTTTTTTTTTTATTCTTTTTCGTCTTAGCTTTGGTTTTGTTTGGTTTGGTTTAGTTTGGAAAATTTAACGAAACTATCACCATATTGTGCTAATCGCGAGAACGAGATTGATTGATAACGATCTATATATTTTTATTCGAAGTACATGAAATCAGTCGGTATATACTTCTCCTAATTGATCATTCTCTCGTTCACAATTCTACGTATAAAAATATGAATTACTGTTGCTACTGCCGTTGTTGTTGCTGTTGTGTTGTGTTGTTACTGAAGGGTATGATATGACCACGAGGGGGTGGTAAAAGTTCGAGGAATGGTTGCAATTAAAATATAAAATGATAAAGTTTAATCAGCGATCAGCAGTCGTTTGTCAACGCTGAAGATAAGATTTGTTTGTGTGTGTGTGTGTGTGTGTACTATATTTGTACGAAAAAAAAAAAACTAACATTCTGATAGAAGATCGAATAAATAAAAAATGAAAACTTATATGTTAATTAAATAGATAAAAATTTGTTGTACGGTGGGATGTGTTTTTGATCAAACGGCTTGAGAAAAAAAGAAACGCATATTAAAATAATTTTAGTCGTATAAAATAATTTGTTTGGTTGTTTCGTTCTAGGTTGGACTGTTGGAAATATGCTATGGGAGATGAAGAAAAAGAAAGAATAATAATTTTTTTGTGGAAGTATAATCTCACTCGTCGATCACCTTTTACGTAGCCGTGAGAGTTTCCAAGATGTCTTCGGGACTTTTTTTCATTCTACGAAAATTTTCCCAATGTTCCTTCGGTACTGTCCACTCGAGAAAAGTTTCGAGATTTTTGGTAAGAATTTCTAATTCTGTTAGACCTTTACCGGTTGCAGGATCCTTCCCAGCAGATATCAGAGAATCCTGTAGGACTTTGTCGATAAGACGTTTACCGAAGCCCAACTCATCTAATCTTTCTTGTTTGCTGATCCTCTTCAATAGTACGGCCAATAACAGACGCATCCTTTCTACTGTCATAGTTTTGTATTTGGTAGTATTGGTAACTTTATCGTTGGAATCGTTAGAGGAAACTGCACCAAATGAATTCGAGGAAGAACCTTCGATATCAGGGCCCCCATCGAGTTCTGGGTGACACGATTTCTCATGACTCTCTAGGTCACTTTTAATTCGGAAAAAACTTTTGCAACGTTTGCAACCGTACGGTTCGCTTCTACCGTGTATACATTTCATATGTTTTTTCCAATGCGGTAATTGGGTAAAACCGGCGTTACATTCGACACACTTGAACGGTCTTTCCCCTGTGTGCCTTCTCGTGTGCAATTTCAATGCGGTGGAATGTGCGAAGGCTTGCCAACATACCAAACATCGGAACGGTCTTTGTCCCGAATGCGTACGTTGGTGGACAGTTAATTGAGATTTTTGGGCAAATCTTTGACCGCAAGTGGCACAACCGTGTGGTCTGTCGCGCGCATGAGTCCTCATATGCTGCGGTAAATGTCCTTTGAAAGTTTTATTACAGATAACGCATAGGAACGATTTAACGTCACGGTGCAGACACTCCAAGTGTTTCTTCAAAGCGTCACGCCTAACGAAACCCCTGCCACATATTTCACATTTATGATCCTTTTGACCGTTGTGTCGTTTAACGTGCAACGCGAGATTTGCCGCACAAGTGAAAGTACCCGAGCAAAGGCCGCAATGATAGGGTTTTACCTGGCTATGGGTACGACGATGTTGAACCAATTGGCCACCCCTAGCAAAGCTCTTCTCGCATTCCGGACATTTGTAAGGTTTAAAACCGGTATGGGTTCGAACGTGCAGCTTTAAACGTTCCTTCAATGGAAACTCCTTGCCGCACTCGTCACATTTGAAAACTGGCCCGGCACCGTGAACTACCTTGAAGTGATTTCTCAGGCCACCGCTACCCTTAAAACGTGCATCGCAAACTACACAACAATATTTCTTCTCTAATGAATCATTTTGATTATGATATTCGTTGCCAACGTCCTCGTCCAATCTTTTAATATCATCGTCGCTGAAATTTGAACTATTCCGAATATCGCCAGTTACTATTGTCGATACTTGGGATGATGCTGGTGATGATGGTGACAGTGACGATTGCGATGATCTAGACGAATTCTTTTCCTTAATTAATTTCGTTCTGTCTTGACTAACGACGTTGTTGTTCTCCCTTTCTACCAACAAATTTGCCTGGATAATCGCGTCTATCTTCAATCTTAATTCTTTTTCTTGATTATCCTCGGTCATTGGTATTATTCTTTCCTCATCTGTCGATATAGATGAGTTCAATTCGTCCCTACTAATATCTAAATTCTTTGCACGATCCCTGAATTTATTTATCAGGACTACTTCGGCGGTCCCTTCGTAATCATCCGGGTACATTTCGTCCGTAATTTCGTGATTAACTTCGCTAGAAGTTTGCGATAAAGAACAAGAATTAGATCTTTCACGACGGAACACGTAAACTTCGTCATTAAGACTGTCTTTGGTTTTATCCAAGTCCAAATAACTTGGAATTTCTTCCTCGTACAAAACGGATAATTCATTATCATCCTCTTCTTCGATTATTTTGTCATTAGTACTATCACTGATGTTGATTTTGTTAACGGTCATTTTATTACAATTGGACGTTAACTTTTTGGTATTTTTTCTCACTACGTTTCTCTTCTTAGACATTACCACAGATCTTTTACCATTATTATTAACGTTTCGATAATTATTCGAATTATTTTTTATTTTTTTCTCCGTAGTACCATTACCATCCAAAACGTTTAATTTTCTTTTAATACCGCATACACGTTTTATTTTCATTTCAATCTTCTCTTCTTCCACATTTATTTCGTTATCCTTAAAAATCCTCAATCCGTAATCTTGTTGTTCCTCGTCATTGCAACTACCGGAAAAACTTCTTAATGCTTTTAACGCGTCGGTAGCATCGATATCTTTGAAAACATTGTTCTCTCTAATACGCGATTGTTTAACTGGCAAAAGCTCGGTCAATTGAACCTCTTCTTGAGGTTGTTCGCTATTACCAGATACTTGCTGCTGTCCTAAGATCAATTGCTGCATATTGATCATGTTCAGGACTTAAGTTAATCACAACAGCGATCAACCGACCGACCGACCGACCAGGGTTGCAGGAGCACAAGAATAAGAGCAACAACAAGAACACGATATGAAGGAAATTAAAAAAAAAAAAACACAGGGAATTCAATTAAAAAGAGATATAGAAAGAGAGAGAATGATAAATAATAGATAGAGGGAAAATAAAATAAACAACTAATCTTCGAGCACCTCAGCCTCGAGAGACTTCGACGCCCGCGTTCGTCTATCAGAACATATCGATGAAGTTACAAAACTTCTTCTTATTCTTCTCTCACTCTCACTATATGTATGTATTTTATTCGATTAGATTAGATTAGATTATAGTAGTTCTTCTTCAACTCGGTAAATTGTTAACAGAGGTGTAGATAACATAATCGCGATCACCACCACCACCACCACCACCACTACTACCACCAAAACCACAACCACTAATAATATCACATTTATCCAAATTCAGCTGGTCTTTTGATTAATACCAACGTCATGACGAATTAATTCCTTGAGCACTTTAATTGCTACTGTGCTAAGAGAGAGACAGACTTAGAGGGAGGGAGAGAGCAAAAGGGGGGGGGGAGAGAGAGAGAGAGCTTTTAAACGTCAACGTGTTTGAGAGGGATGGTTGGAGGGTGGCAGGGTGGGAGTAGCAGAAAAAGAGAGAGAGAGAGAGAGAAACACAATCTTATCACAGATTTCGTTATCGCATTTCGCGATATTATAAACTTAATTCTCGTAAAACTTCTTCTTTTTTCTTTTCTCCAATCGTCTATTTCTCTCTCTCTCTCTCTCTCTCTCTCTTCCCCCACCCCTCGTTTCTCAAAGATTTTCACTTTTCTTCTCCTCCTCCTCCTTCTCCTCCTTCTTCTTCGTTTTTCTTCTTAATCCGAGGTAAATACGATCTTTCTCTTCCTTTTCCTTTTTATTATAGTCTTTCTTTTTGAATTATTTATCAGGAAAAAATAATTGTGAAAATATAGCAGAGGATGGATGGTTCTCGTGCAGGCGTTGGAATCACCGAGCAACAGTAGCACCCGTATCAAACAGAGATAATAACGAAATTGCCGAGTTATTTCTTTTTTTTTTTTTTTTTTTTTTAATACTCACGGCATTTTATTTAAATATTATTTTAATATTAGAATGTGATTTATAATTCATTCTAATCGTCTCTTCCCATAGTTTATCGAACGTACATTAAACATTTAGAAAAAAAAAAGAGAGAGTGTGTGAGAGTGAGAGAGGAGGAGGAGAGAGAGAGTGTGAGAGTGAGAATGAGAATGAGAATGAGATTGAGAGTGAGAATGAGAGTGAGAGTGATCAGTGATACCTTGATAAACTCTCTCTCTTAACTATCCTAACCGTGACGCACGCCACACCACGATGGAATGAAATTCTCTTTGGAAGAGCGATTGCGCGCCTTTTTACACGCAAGCGCAATCCTCGGTCGATATCAACCCGGTTTCATCCCCTCCAAATAGCACTCCTCCTCTCCTCGTTCCTCCACCCTCTTCTTCCTTCCTCGTTCCTCGTTCCTCGCCCTCGCCCTCCCCTCACACTACTCTTGCTCACTCACACTCCTCACACTTTCCTTCGATATTTTGCTTGTTAGCTTCCACTGTATTCTGTGTTCTGCTTTTGTGCTTTGCTTTTGCTCTGCTTAGCTGTCGTCCTGTGCTGCTGCTGCTGCTGTACACTGAGCTTGCTTGCTTGCTCCCTTATTTCTACCCGGCTTTTCACTCTTACTACTACCCTTCCAGACAAAACCCTAATCCCCCTTCCCCTTCTTTTTTTCCACTTTCTCCCTTCTACTCTTACTCCTCCTACTACTTCTTCTTCTTCTTCTTCTTCTTCTTCTTCTTCTTCTTCTCTTCTTCTCCTTCTTCTTCTCTTTCTTCTCTCTCTCTCTACTTCTGTACCATTCCAACCCTCTCTCCACCCCTTAATTCTCAACCTCTCGTCACTACCTATCACCTTTCACTTCCCTTTTTCCATCAAGTAGGGAGGACTAACTTAAAATTGTCTTCTCTATTAGGAATAATTTTCTCTTTTTTTTTTTTTATTTATTTATTTATTTATTTCATTATTATTTTCCTTTCTTTTCTTTATTTTGTTCTTTTTCTTTTTATATATATATTATTTGATAATCCTTCCTATTTATGTTAAAGTTATATTTATATGTCATCGGACAGCACAATAAATATATATATATATATATGTATATATTAATAATACTCGTTTTTCTATTTCTCTATATCTTTGGTTGAAATTTAATATGAATTTGTTGTATTTGATTTTATCTATCATAAAAGCCAAGCTTTCGTAGAGTGCATAATATCTTGGAATCTTCTTGTTTAATTTTTTATATTTTTGTTTTAATTTATATTAATTTGATGTATTTGATTTTACACGATAAGTAAAGTCAACTTTCTTTTTTAGAGAACCTGATATTTTTGAACACGAGATCGATATGAGTTTCCTTTTTGATAATCGTTTTGAACAGTTTCAACTTGTTGATCCTTTGAATTCTTCCTTTATGTAATTCCCAAATGGAATCTTTTAATTTCGTTCCATTCAGAATGAATTTTCTTTGGTCTATGTCCTTTAGATTTAATCAGATTAATTCTCTGATTTTTCTTTTTTTTTACTGCAGTTGGTGTTATAATTCTCCAACCCCTGCGCGTGACTAGATTTCTTGAAATTTTAAACAACAATTTCTTCTATTATCAGATTAAATCCTATACGCGTTGATCGATTAATTAATAGTTTATTATTGTATTACTTTTCTTCTGATGTTTTTCTTCTTATTAAGAATAAATGCGAATAATAGTATAGATAATTGTAATAAATTTGTTAGTTAGAGTAACTCGGTAGCACATCCCGTTCCTTATTTTTGGGAAAAATCCTAGTTAGGAAAAAGTACCCACCACCACCACCATCTGAAATAAAGGAATATTACGAAAGGACTCCCTTTTTGCTTTAATTCTTCCATCGAGAAAAAATTAGGTCTTTGGTTAGCACAGTTATTGCTTGTTTTTCTTTTGGCCACAAAATTTTTTTTAGATTAGTTAGAAAAGCTTTGAATAAAGATTTTAATAATAAAGAGAGAGGAGAGAGAGAGAGAGAGAGAGAGAGAGAGAGAGAGAGAGAGTAAGAATAAGAAATCAGATCGTTCAAACTCGTAAATTGGATTTTAAAAGGTCGACTTTAACGTTGCTTAGAGATTGTAAAACACAACAACGAGACTCTGAGAAAAGATTGTTCCTATTATTTTCTTATTCTTTCTTTTTTTTTTTTTTCTATACTGGAGGAGCACGTTAAAGACATCAATATTGATATGATAATCGTAAATCAGATTGCATGTGCATTAGAAAAATGTATGCATCTATTAAAAAGAGTTATTATATGAAATTTGTGTGTAATGATAATTTATTTTAATTTATAAAAACATTATATACATATAATAATTAGATAAATGATATCTATTTGTTATCTTGGAAGTATCTATGTTAGAATCAACTTGTAACATTAATATAATATAATATATGTATATAAGTATATATAAAAGTTACGTGACCGAATCAGAAAATATACGAGTATATAAGACGATCAATTTCCGTCGATGATTTTGCTCGAACGCCATAAGCAGCATCAAGTTCTCATCGAAATTACTCTTTCTGTCTTCTTTTTAATACAGATCCCATATATACACACACATAATTACATATAGTAAAAAAGAAAAAAAAGGAACGGTATTATAAATCATGGAAAGAAAAATGATAAATTTTCTTTGAATCGTATATGTATATCGTATATATTATAATATGTCTTTGTGTGTAAGATTTAATTCGTATAGGAATTCGTATAGGAATTCGATCTAAATTCGAGATACATAATAAACTTGATTAAATGTTAAAATCATGTTAATCTCAATACCCCATATATGAGTGACCTTTAGCATCGAAAACATCTCGTTCGATCACGTGTTTAAATAATCGTTCGATCGTCAGAAATCGATTATCCTTTCATTATAAATACACACACGTATACTTATATATACATGTGTGTATGATTTAATAATAATACTAATTAATTTTAGACGAGCAAATAAATGCACATACACACACAGATATGTATATAAATATATATATATATATATAAGTACGATCTAATAATAAGTATAATTAATTTTAAAACAAAAATGTTTTTGAAAAAGATTCTCGACCAATCAAATTGCTCGACATACGTAATGTCGTCGGAAATGTACTATATCAGAAGGATGATCGTGTGGGTGACGTCAGGAAAGAAATTTTGATTCGTCGCCCAACGTCGCGTAATGGAAGCGTCGATTTTCTACTCTCTTTCTCTCTCGCACTCATTCGTAGCATTATATAGATTAACTGGACAGACATTTGTTTGTTCGTTCGTTCATTCGTAAAAGAAAGAAAGAAAAGAAAGAAAGAAAGAAAGAAAAAGACAGAAAGAGAAAAAGAAGATTCACCGCGCACGTGTGCATGCTCGTTACTACCATCAAACTAAATATATACACAGTATATACACATACGCGAGTATGTATAAACTGGTAAAGTACTTATGGATGCATATATGCATATATATGTATACACACATACACGCGCGCGTATAAATCATGCTCCCATTTTCTTTTTGATCCACACAACGCGCACGATGCTAGTTCGTAGCGCATTGAACTTCCCAGGGAAGGAAGAAACGTTTGTAGTGTACAACTATTCGTTTTCGAGATTTCATCGTTTCGAACTACCACCATTTTCCCGCCGTTCCTCTCTCTCTCTATCTCTGTCTCTCTCACTCCCTCTATTACTTTCTCTCTCTCTTTCTCTCTCTCTCTCTTTCTCTTATATCAATCAAAATCTTCTAATTAAATTCTTACGCTAAAAGCATCATTGAAAAAAAAATGTTCGGTTATAAGAAGATCGCGAAGAAAAGCTTCTTACTTACCAGAAACGACATTACGTCGACGTTTACGGCCGTTTAAACGACGAGGAGGAAGCTTCCTTTCTAAGCGACTAGCTCGACCCTACCCTCCGTCGCCATCTTCGATGCGCTTTAAGCTTCGCCGATGAGTCGTATCAGAGCAAGAGAGAGAGCAAGAGAGAGTAAGAAAAAGAAAGAGAGAGTATGAATGAGTGAAACAGAAAGAGAGAATCAAATAGAGAGAGAGTGAGCTTGTAAGTTGGAGGGGATGAAAAGTAGACGAGATAAAATGCGCCTATGTTTCGTATTATTCCTGACAGATGGCGGGCAAAGCGCTGTCTTTACAAAATTTCACGAACACCCCTCTCGTTGTCGTCGTCATCGCGTCGTAGATATAAACGTCGTCGTCATCATCCCCGCCACCATGACAAATACTACCACCAATATTTGATGCTGCTACTGCTGCTGCTGGTGTTACTGTTGCTTTTATCGATCGAATACGCGCATGGGGGACTGTTTGCCACCGCCATTACCACCAACGTATCAAACCAAACGGAATCGTTCTTATTCGCGAATTCAAAAATTCCTTTGCGCGAAATTTTAACGCGCCACCGACGAGAGCCTTTTGATTGGCTTACACATTGGTGGTCTCTTATTTTTATTTCTTTCGTTTTATTTTTCCCTCTTTCTTTCTCTTTCTCTCTCTCTCTCTTTTTTTCTAGTTTTCTTTTATTTAAATTTATGTCAAATTGCTTCTATATCGAAAATCTCGATATCTCGATATCGATTGTTCGCGTTCGATTATTTGTTTTATTTTCATTTTAATTTTAATTGCTTTCGAGAGACGAAAGAACGTTTTTATAAAATGTTTAATTATCATTCAGGTAGCATAAATATTACTATACAATTCGATTACAACATTTTATTGAATAATTTTTGTACTTCATTTAATTTATTTATTTTAATTTCAGTGTTCATTTCGATGAGATAATATTAATTGTTTTCTTGTTTGTTATCAATACAATGTAATCAAGACGATACGATATTGTGTCACGATTCAAATCGAATTGATTAAATATTGGAACAATTGATGTACAACTCGAAATTTAATTCTGCAGATACTTCATATGTTCATAGTAAACGAACAATTAGTATTACAATATACATACGATCGTATTTTTATAAGAAAATACAGATTAATCAAAAGTTATGATAAATTGTATTCTAACAAGGAAATATACAAAAATTATCATTAAAACGTTGGAAGGATTTGTACGAATAGTATAAAATGTTTTATATCAGCTTTCTGTCGGCAACAACTAAAGTAAGTAATCAGTTATACTGATAATTTACTATACAAGCACAATGTTTTGTTACGCAGAGTGTCTCTGATAAGGGAAGGAAGAAAAATTGTAGAAGAAAGAAACTTATGGTAAGGAAAATTCTCGATAGTGTCAAGATTTATGTCGTAGTATATGTATATATACATAAATGATATATATGTAAACAACTCTACCGAATGGTATTACGATATGAGACTTGATTATACGAGTATATCGACCAATAAGAAGAGTTAGTTAAGCTTTGCTTCCTCCTCCTCCTCCTCCTATTCTGGGTTCTTATTACAATACACTAGGAGGGAGAGATTTTAATGCCGAAAATATAACGAGCGATATATTTATATATACGCGTGTTCGATCATCTTTAATTTTTGTTAGATTATTCGGAAAGAAACATCGTTTTTTCAATGGTAAATAAAAGGTTCGGTATAAGTAAACGTGACTAACAAAATATCCGCGCTAAAAATGAAATTACTTTTCGAACAATCCAATATGTTGTATAAATTGTATATATATCATATATAATATATATCAGTATTTATATTTAATATAAATATTATATATATATATATATTTTTATTACAATATAATTGTGTTTAAATTCAAAAAAACTTAACACAAAAATTCTCAGGAACATGCAAATTATCGAATCACTTGGTACGTATGTTCAGTGACTTCAATGCTTAGAAAATGCGGTTACATCTTCTTTCTCTCTCTTTCTTTCTTTTTTGTTGATTATCTCAACGATTCGAATTAATACACGAATGTAAGGAAGTACTTTTAAACGGTAACTTTTTTTTTTCGATACGAGTTACGATGTTTCGAGAATAAATTATTACGTGTAAATAAGATTACTCGTGTTTAGCAAGAAATCATGCGATTATTGTTATCGAGATTATATACATTATCGAAATATATTTATTTTTCTTGATTTATTTTCAATTCAACGTTAGAGAGATCTGTTTGCAAAAATATTCAAATAAAATAGATTTCCCCACCGCCGTTCGTTAATTATTTATATTTTTGTAAATTTTCTCTTCTTTTTTTTTTCTTTTCTTTTTCAATATTTATCAATATGATTATAAAAGTGTAGAATATTCTGTTCCATAGTTAACAATAAATCTCGCAAATATATTTAATATATTTTACGTTAAATCAACTAATTATAAATATTCATTATTGCGTATAAAAATTTCAAAAATATACCTCTCATTAACATAAGATACAATTTTTTTCTAAATAAAATAAATTACACGTATATCTCGTAAAAAATGAAAAATACATAACTAAAAATTGTTATTTTGTCGATCATGCGATTAGCCTAATAAAAAATAGATTTAATTAATTTAATTTAAAATAAAAATAAAAATCGCTAACTTACCGACAGGTAAAGTGCATCGAGAAAAAAGTTCGTGATAGCATTGATAGATGGCACTGTGAATATTGGCGCTGCACGCGATGCATTATTAGTTCGGGTCTTCGCCGAGGAGGTGACGGAAACGTCCGAAGGTAGTTGTTCGGTACCGTAGTGTAGACGAATTGACATAGAGAATCTGTTGGCAGTGCGGATGGCGTAGCAGACGGGTGTAGGCACGTTGAAAATTCTGTTAAAAAATACCTTGTTTTTCTTTTTCTTACTTCATGCAACTGTCAGCTTTGTTATATCTACACAAGTATATACATGAATAAATAGATACATTATTATTATTGTGAAAGCTCACGGTGGTTCGTCGTGAAAATAGTGACTCGCTTATACTACGATCACGCATTCGTAATCTAGAGTTGAATTTCTATTCTCTCTTTTTTATTACTCGTTTTCTATCTTCTTATTCTATCTTTTTTTATCTCGTGTATCACATCTTTTATTTTTATTCTTAATTCTTTTTTTTTTTTTTTTATCTTTCAAACCCGTGTACGCTTGTATCGTGTGCACCAACGAATAAGAAGAATAAAAAGAAGAGAAAGAAAATAAAAAGAATAAGAAGAATAAGAAGAATAAGAAGAAGAAGAGGAGGAGAAAAAATCAAATGACGAGGAAGACACGACACTGACGTTTTGTTTTTGATCGTGTTGCGTCGCGTGTGTGCCACCAGTTGCGTGTTGCGTAACCACGATTTTACGAGTTTCTATCTCTCTCACTCTCATTCTCAATTACCTTTATTTTTCTCTTAAAAATTCTACTCTCTCTCTTTCTCTTTTTCTTTCTTTATTTCTTTCTTTCTATCTTCCTGTCTTTCTTACTCCAACTATTCTGTGATTCGCAACCCGTCCTCAGGTTCAACAGGCAAGAATCTTTGGAACTACAAAATTGTCTACAAATTACTTTTCTTATTGGATCATACCGAATTGTTTTAGAAAAACATTCCGTATTATACGGTGAGTTTTTATCATTGTTGATTTATTTGCATTTTTGTTTGTTTTTATTTATTTTATTTTTGTCTTATATTTTAAAAAATTTTATTTGATGTATTTTATATTTAGAAATATAACTTCATGGATTAAAGTCAATTGAATACACAAATATTTGCATATTTTGTTTATTTATGTTTATTGTTTTAATTTATTATAATTTATTTTAAATAAAATAATGTTTGGAATAATTTTAGATTTAATTATGATGGTTTTAAGTAATGCGTTAAACTTTGCTCAAAGCTTATACGTTAACGTCTTAATAAATATGAGTATTCGATTAGATTATACGCACTTGGATTTATTTAATTTTGTAATAGTAAGAATATTATAAAATATAATGATTGACATTATATAATGTGAATATAAAGTAATAGGTAATAATTTATCGAGTAAGGATTTAAGAATGGAATGTATGTAGAGATTGTTTTTGTCGAGTCACTTTGGCAAACGTTCTTAACCATTCGACTGTGAACAAGTGGAAACGTTTCATAAGTTAGAACTGTTATTAATCAGTTTGTATGTTATTTTTATGTTTAACATACTGTTCTTTAGATATACACAGCGACAGAATAAATTATTCGCATAGTAGTATTGGTATGGAAATATTATTACTACCGTACAAATACTTTTATATTTAATGCACCCATTTAGTTTTAATTCAATGGATTCTCATTATATTACTTTTGAATATTTTGGAAAACATTCTTATGCTTTTTAATATGTTTAAAAATATTGTCAATATGATAATATCTTTTGCATCGGTTTTACTCTTATATTTATCGAACAAGGTTTTTAATTCTCAGAGTTGCAAGCTCGGTCAAGTACATAAGTACTTGACAAATATTCAAATTTATTTTTCTCAAAAATAGAGTCATATATTTACTAGTTAGATTCCATACATATTATTAATTTACAATTGGTTTTTCTTGTAAAAATATCTCTTGCTTGTTTCTATCACCAGTTACTGAACAACCCTGTATATTTTTTGTATTTTATTTTTTAAAGGCAAATTTGATAGTAAAAATGATAAAAGTAATTAATAAATAATAATAATAAGTTTTATAAAGATTATCATTGGATCTTATCTATTACACTGACTCTCTCTTTCTTAGTCTCTTGAAAAAAAAGCTATTAAATCTTGAAGATAGATCTTTAAGAAACGTGCTTAGAATATATTATAATTGAGGTCGTTTGCATTCCGGTATTTTTAATTAGATATCGTTAATAAGAAAAAGAAATACAAACATATTAATAAGTGAAACAATTAGACAAATAAAAAAGAAAGAATAGTTAAATTAATTAGAAATAATGTAAAATTTGGATAAATTGAAGATTTGAAATTTTGAAGAAAAAAAAAAAAGAAAGATTTAATATGAGTAAATTAGAATAATATAAATGAAAAGAAAAAACGTATGTTTAATTAGATAGATAGGAAAGTAAAGGAAGAAAACGATACACACGTTGTTCTTGAGAGGTGAAAAGCAAGCGAGCAAACGATAAAATTAGAGTTATGACTGTGATTTCCTGACCGTCTTGCCTCGTAAAAGTCATAAGAGTCTTCTTTCTCATCGTTGTAGCTCAATATCTTACGAAAGTATTAACCCTTTATATTGCAATAAATTTTTTTATCATTTCTATTTATCGAAAAAGATAAATTATTCTTTCCGTGATTAGAGAGATAAATGAACAAATAAAGTGAACAATTTTAAATCACACGTTTCACCATGTATTAAAATAATAATAATAATAATAATAATAATAATAATTTTTGATAAATCAATTAAAAATTTACTTTTAAATTGAAACAAACAAAGTATTACTTTAGGCTAGTTCGTTTAATTACATTATTGTTACTTAAAATTATAGTGTACCTATTTTTTTTATTCATTTTTATTATTATTAGTATTATTGTTACTTAATACTTATTTATCTTCAGTTTAATTAGGTTTCATTGAAATCGTTTTTAATAATCACTTACAGAAGGATTCACAGTATGTTAATTCAGAAAGAAAATAAAAATAAAAAATGAGTACGTTAATGAGCATGACATTAACTCTTCCACGATCTTTCACGACATTCGATCAATGATTAAGAAACAACTCGAAGGGACAGATAGATCGTTAAAGGGTTTGATATTTTTTTAAAACGTAGTCAAAGCCAAGATCATCCAATTGACCTTTTATTCTGATCACACTTATCACTTACTATCACATTTATACATACACGCAGATTCTTTTTTTTTATGAAAAATAAGAAAAGAAAAAATATACAAGATAATAATTTAATATAAATGATTTGTAATTCTTTATTCTTTTTTTTTTATTTTATAAATAAATGCATGAGGTATATATATCAAATAATAATTCAATAAATTATTTTGTGAATATAAATGAAATGAAACAAATAATTTTCTCTCTTACGTTATATAATAATATAAAATATTAGAAAATAAATTAAATGTTAAGGATATAGTTAGAAAAATATATAGACAGACAGATAGTTAGATAGATAGATAGATAGATAGATAGATAGATAGATAGATAGATAGATAGATAGATAGATAGATAGATAGATGGATAGATGGATTGATGGATAGTTCGAAAGTGTTAACTAGCGTTTAAAAAGATGATTAAAAGAGAGATTAGGAGAAGAGAATGAATGACACGCGTCAAACGTGAATGAAATTTTCTAATTTCACGTCGGCTTACGTTTGTTTCCACTTCGTGTATACCCACGCTCATACATACAAACAAACACACACACACTCAAACACGTCCAACACACAACCATACACATATGTAATAAACACCCATTCATATTCATAAATATATTTTCATATATATATGTTGTGTGCAGAGAAAATTTACACACACATATAAAAATAATGACAATACGTTGAAACAAATACAGGAATAGGAATACATACAAACATAGAAGTAATGATGCATATATATGCACAAATATGAATATACATGTATATATAATATACACCCATCATATATATATATAGATGTGTACATATATACAACAGATAAGTATTATTCATCACTGAGGAAGATTTTTTATTTTTTAACAGACAGTGTTACATAGTTGCAACACTTAAGGTGCAATTATTATCCACGCTTAAGTAACCACTACTCAAACTGTAAGTTAACTCTCGTGAGTGCTACGAACTATGAACGATTTCTATGATTTTCTAACAACGTTTGAGATATACATGTATTATATGTATATATATATATATATATATATATATATATCGTCAAGAAACTTTGCATTTCACTTTTTATTACTTTTATCATTATCTTTCTCCTTATATATATTTTCTTATTTATTTAAATAATTTAATAAAAAAATTCGTGTACTAAGATACTTGAAAAATATCCTAAAATGATTGATAATTCGAAGGAAATGTTAATTGTAATTTAAAAACACCGAGTATAAGATCGGTGAACTTTCAAACATAATAAATCGAATTTCTTTTTTCGGTAAGTCATATAAACAAAATTAAATAAAAGAACTTTCATAGAAGACAAAGGCTCATTTCAACGGTGGATTTCGAAGGGGACGGTACATAGATCATATATTCCGAGCTTTTAAACAACAATAGACAATTCTTTCGATTATTTAACATGTTTTTTAATGTTCTAATGCACTCTCATTATATTTAAGATTTTTTCAACGCATTATACATTTATTTAAACATTACATACATTTTCACGTACTTTAAATATTAATTAATATTTTAATTTTATGTTTTATTAGATGAAAATTTTACCCCTTCCCTCCGAAGTTATCACTGCGCAGGAGGGTTAAAAAATAATTACATAAAATAGATAAAAATAATAAAATCAGAACGTTATAATCTTAGATTCTATTTATTACGAATATTCTATCTTTTAATACACATGCGCAACGTTCGAAAAGTCATATAAACAAAATTAAATAAAAAAATGTTCATAGAAGAGAAAGTGCCAGTCTCAAGGTAAATTTCGAGGAAGACGGTTGACAGAACATATACTCCGAGTTTTTTAACAACAATAGACACTTTCATCGATTAATTAACAATTATTTAAGGTATATTTAATACAGTACTGTACCATATTAATATTTAGAATTGTTTTAACGCGTTCCTGACACAATGATGATTTTGATTAACAAATTTTCATCTAATAAAATGTATCTGATCGAAATGATTTAATATATATTCTTAATATATATATGTAATAGTTATATAATTTTTAAACAAAAGATAATCAACTCTAATACTTGGACATGATAAAACCAAGTATTCCTTCTATTTTTTACAGTAATACTAAAGTATATACAATTTTAAATAACTACCTTTTCTTGTGTACATTACTTTCGTATTTATTTAATTCGCTTGTTATAAATAATCCTTTCAGAGATAACAACTTATTAAATATGTATTTTTAAGATATATTCATTTATTTATTATAATACGATTTATTCTTTATTTATTATATAATACGATCCCACGAATATTCTATTTTAATTTATTTCATTTCACATTAAAAATTACGTTAGAAAATGATTCCTATTTCAACATTTTCTTTCTGTTTTTGTTGTTGTTGTGTTGTTGTAGTAATAGTGAGGGGAGGTGAAGGAGGAAAAAAAAGAAGAAGAAGAAGAAGAAGTGGAGAAAGAGGAAAGGATTATTTATCTCGTTTTCATATTTCGAGAATATAGAAACGGGAAAAGCCATATGCGTGGGAAAGTGGTCGAGTATAGTATGTCTGATGTTAGTCTCGAGTAAAAGGAGAATACGAGGATATCGGTTTTAATATAATCCTAGATCGTGCACTACGGTTAAGTACCTTCCGATTAAAGTCCACCGCCTTTGTGAAAGTGTACAGTTATGTTTTAACACACAAACACGCACATACATACGTATATATACATATACATATCACCAGGACGTGCTCTTTATGCTATCTTCGTCT